ATTGTGACTCCGACATGACATTTAATGTCACCAACCAGGATGACGGCGTATTATCTGACTGAACAATCCCACAGATTGGCTACGTTCACACTGCAGGACTTGATGCTCAATGAGGATTTCTTTGTGACTTCCTTCACGTTTCCAGTTCAATGCGACTTGTATGTGATCTGCTGTGTGAACTTCATACGACCCAAAAGTGTCCCGCATGCGCAGAAGAGGACACGACGACGTCACACGCAGCGAGCGTGCTCAGTGTTTACGGAAGTAAACATGGATGGTAACGGTGGAGCGTATCTGCCACTCCCCCGCCGCCACCGATGGAGGAAACAGAAGTGTGAGCGCTAACTAAACTAGCATCAGCAGCCAAGTACTGCCTGTGTGTTCTGGACACTTCCACCCCGTCAGGACAAGATGATCTATAATACATTTGCACAGATTTTCAATGAGTTCGTCTGTATATGCAGTGAAAGTTGGATAAATAAAAGAATCACTGTTTAATGTGTAAGTAGAAATCAACATTTAGATTTTTCTACTTGCCATTGAACAGTCTCATGTGTAAACCCACAGCGACATACAGCCCCAGAAGTGGTGTTTAAGAAACTAAGCTTGATGAAATGGTATCCAGCTTTTCATGTGTGTATGAACAAACATGATAGCTGATCAACAACTTTCATATCGAGCACATTTAGCATTCACCATGACACGAAACGTAAAGCTCGTCTCCTCTCTCTTACCTCTCTGGCCAGGGCTAGGAAGTTGCTGTTGAGCTGCACATTGGACATTATCTCTGTCAAGTCCTCGTAGTCCTCTACGTCCTCATTAAGTTCCAGGAACATGCCATGGCGACCCAGCATGAAGGCCATCTGCTTCTGGATGACTCTGCAAGGGGCGGAGATGCAGGGAGTTTGTGTTGAGTGCACACCGTTAAGTATTAGAGGACGTTCTGTTGCAAAAACAGGCATTACAAACCTGATGGGCCTTTGCATTATTGGATTTAAATATGTCTGTGCTCAACACTTTTGTTTAAAAGTTGTACACCTTTTATAAGTCATCCAGGTACAGAACATTATGGTCCTTACATGTCTTTGCAGGATGTGAAGATGTTTTCTACAAGCTCCACATCGTTGAGCATCAGGGCCAGGCGCAGGGCTTCTGGGTAACGGTTGAACTTCCTGAAGATGTTCAAGGCACATCTCAGCAACGCTGAGTTTTCGGGTTCAGGAACGTAACTCACACAGCTGGAGAAGTGATGCAAAAAGTTAAGAGATTAAATGTTTATACTTCAGTGACGAATAAGTTAGTGAATGCTATTTTAGAATGTGAACAACGCGCTAAACGAACCAAGATCTGAGCTTTCTGAGCAACACACCTGGTGAGGTAGAGACAGACTTTTCCGTAGGCGTTCTCGTCAATATAGTCCTCCAGCATGTCCAGCCTTTCAATCTCCATCAGCAGGTCGCACGCCTCATGCTCGGCATTGTGGGCCATGTTGTAGGGCACAATCTCCTTCACTAGTTTCAGCAGCGTCTCTTGCTGGGTCTTATCATTCTCCTCTACCTCCTGCCACTCTTTAGCCACCTCACCGGCAAGGTGCCTGGAAGACAAGGACAGGAAGGTATCTGACATCAAGGTATTGAAGCAAACAGAAGACACAGCCAGATTTGTTTGAAGACATAATATTGTCCTGTTTTTAATTACAGGAGAAATAGAATTATCTCTTTGTATATATTCTCCTTAACATCAGTGATGCAATTATGTATAGAAGTGTGACCTTCATCCCACACGCTCTACACAATACATCTTATCACTACATTGCAATCTGATGGTACAGAAAAAACATTCTTGTTCTGACACAACAGGAAATATTACGACTACTTTCAACACCAAACCACACAGAAAAGTTCACTTTGCATGTCCTCTGGTTATAATGCGTAATGATGCTGAGTCATGAGTGATGTCGGAGCTATTACGACGTACCTGACATATTCATGTCCCCAGGACGCCAGCTCCTCCTGAGAGCCCAGCAGGCGGTACTTCAAACACTCCCTCTCACCACTCATGGTCATGGCCAGCACTGACACCACATCAGCACAGAAACGCTGCAAAAACAAACAGGTTGAACTTAACGTCATTAATGAATTGGTGCTAACGTCAGTGTTCTGGACAGGTTACATCGGTCAATTAATTCATGGCATCATGATGCTATTTGTGTGTTTGTACATCTGCAGCTGAAACACTGTTTTAAACTAATTCTAATCCTGGATTTTAATCAAATGTCACACCAACACCCACAAATATTAGCCTCTAAAACCTTTACTGTTTGACCTCAGTGTGGCATCACTGCCGTACACATCACTGACAATTCTTTCATGCTCCATGGAAATATATAAAGAAGTTAATTTTCCTGCTCTCACATCGTCTCGGCATCATTATTAAGGGGTGATTGAACTGAACACTCTTAAAAAAGTGCACATGCCTGAATGTATTACTTTTCTGACAGCACAGCAGAGGCTTACCTTGTTCTCTCCAGGGGCCATGCCCTCGTAGATTTCTTTGAGCTTGCCATAGTGTGGGCGCAGGAATTTCAGGGGCTTAGGTACTGATGTCATGGAGGTGGTTGAGGAGCGGATTTGTCTGCGCAGCTCTTCTAATGCCGGGCGATACAGTGCTGTGTTCTTCTCCTGCAAATGTGCAGAAGAACATATTTTCTTTTCTTGTAAAGGCTTTTACAACTCTACACATAAAAGTAAAATCATAATAACAATAATAATACTTACACCCAGTCTCTCTACCATCATCTCCAGGTCTTCTTGTAACTGCTTGTCTTCCTCTGACTGAGAAGTAATGAGAGAGAACAATTACTACAAAATACAGAGTATTCTACTGTCTATGGTCTCCCCATCAAGAGGGACGGTCACTGTTGCAAATGATGATGTAGTGCTTAAATAATAATGTTTATTTTCATATGCTGCCTTCTGGAAGTTAAGGATCAAAGCACGCTGGCAAATATCTGACTCGTGATGCTGTCAGTCAGTCTGTATAAAACAGACTGATGCTTTGAATAATTCCTTTTAAACTAGTTGTTGTGCAAAAGGACAAATAAAGACAAATTTTGACGTGGTGACCAACCCATCTTATACGTGCAGGTTACCAGGTATTGTTCACGATTTATTATACATAGTTAGGATGAAAACCTACTGCCAGCTATCACTTAAATATAAACAGGGGTAGAACTAAACAATTAAGCGAGTTCAAATTAAATATCAAAACAATGCATTTAGCAAATTACAAAGGCTCCACTTTAGGATATATGACTATTTAAGACTGACAGTGAAATTAAATTTAACTGAATTCAAGCAGATTTAAACTTTCCACACTTGTCAGTTGATCAATTAATCTTACACAGCTCAGGCATGCATGATTTGACTAACATAAGCCTTGTCTCTATATTTAATAGCCCTTGTATAGTTTGAGGCACATATGACCAAGGATTTAAACACTTATAAAGTGTAATAACCATGTAAATAAAGTCTCAATAAATATCTGATGAACCTGTCTAATAGTAAATGCCTGGATGGTGCATTTGGAGCTCCTGCATCCTGTGGTTTATTAACCTAATGTTACACAGAATAAGCCACATATTGTAAATGAATTTCAACAGTTGGAGCTGAGTTACTCTGCTATATTTAAACCCATGATTGTACTTTGTGCATCACGATTTGATATGTTTAGATGTTACACATGGCATAAAAAAGACAGCACTAAATGCCCAAATTTACACCACATAACCACTAACTCACCTAAACACAATAACCCGATCACTGACACCTATTGTGAGCCAATCTATAAAGACAAGCCTATCTGCCAAACTAGACCATTGTAACCGTGGCTAATGCAGAATAAATATTATCGTGCACTGAGAGTTTCTTTGAATCATGTTAGCTGCTGTGTCATACACTACGCTGTCCACAGCTATCCATGACTAGCTGAACATGGTAGCAATGCTAACACTGATGACAGCAAATACAGCGGCCGTAACAACTAGCAAGCTAACGTTAGCCTACCGGCTGAAGCAGGCTAGGCTAATGCTAGCTATGTTGGGGGTTTAATCTGCAGATCAATAAGGGACCATACTACGTCAATATGTCAGAATGGTGATATTTTATGTAGAAAATAATCACTGTTAAGTTAATTTAAGTTCATTATTTGTCTATCCTGAGATAGCCACAGACTACGGCCTGCTCTACCATGTTGTCAAAGCGGCAGTGACTAAGGCAAAATAACACGTCTGGCTCCTGTAGCCTTAGTTAGCACACCTTTGAATGAGGAAAATGCGCAGTTTTACCAATTCTTGCTCCTCTTTCTTGTCCTTATCCTTCCCCGAGGGCTGCTGGCCCTTTTCCTTGTCCTTGTCCTTCTCATCGGTCTTTTCGGGCTGCTTGTTCTCTTTGTTTTTTGCCTCCTCCATAGTTGCGGCTCTATGAACTGTCGGTTAGCAAACGGAACTGAGGAGGACTGCTAATGGACCGCTGCTTCTTCTGCGGAGGAGGAATCTGTGCTGGTGTCTCTTTACCGCCCCTGCTGGCGGGGAGGTTTAGCAGCGGCTTGTGGGTAGTTCAGGGACCGTAAAATACACGAAACAGTCTGTGGTGTTTCCGAGACGCTGTCTTTAAAGACCTCGTTCAACCTTTTTTTTTTCCAAAGTTATGCTAATTTTAGCTAACTTATACTCAACACGTTGAACATGTGCCCACTTTGTGAGACATAGAATTTGAAATTTACACAGCCTCACATCCACATATTCAACATAAGAGGCACTTTTCCATCGTTTTCTAAACATGATGAGTACACACACGTCTATAAGAAAAATATCCCCAGTTTTTGCTTTATTTAAGATGCATTTACGTGCATTCTAAGTACATGTAAGCTGTGTTTTCAGTAGGAACGTCATATTTCCGACGTTCTTGTAAGTCTATAAAGGCAGCATAAGAGCTGTCATATGACCACAGTGAACTGAATCACATGCAGCTGACTGTTTCCTTGTTTGTATCACTATGGCTTTTCAAACGTTGCTCCTGTGTAAAGTGAGCTTGTTTTTGCTGCTGAGTCTCTTTGCTGTGGGACAGGGCCAGTCCAAGCTGTACAAGGGCTTCACAAAGTTCAGTCAGGTGCAGGACCACAAGCAGGGGGCTCTGTTTGAGGAGCAGTGGTTCACACAGAAGCTGGACCACTTCAACGGTGCCGACAGCAGAGTGTGGAAGCAAGTAAGTCTGCATGCTCTACAAACCCTTACACGATTTAAATCTATTTAAAAACAAATTACTCAAGTGCTCACTAACCAAAAATAATTCAATCAATGTGTGGGTGATCCCATCAAGGACGATGCACTTTTCTAAAAGTTTGCTGACTTGGCTCATTTGCAAACTTCCTGTCTGTCTGTTTCCTCTTAGAGATACTTTGTGAATGATGCCTTCTACAAATCCGGCGGTCCAGTGTTTCTGATGATAGGGGGCGAGGGCCCAGCAAACCCAGCATGGATGCAGAATGGCACCTGGCTCACCTACGCTGAGAAACTGGGAGCACTCTGCTTGTTGCTGGAGCATCGCTTCTATGGAAAGAGCCACCCGACAGCGTATGTTTCCCCCTGCTGAACAGTGTCTTGAATGCAATATAATTTTGAGTCATATGGTCTCTTTAGTTTGGGTTCATGTGGAGTCAGTGTTTAGATAAAATAAGTCAAATGCAGAAGCACAACAGCTTTATCTCAATTTTGCAACATATGCTTGAAAGAAAACATTCTCCACTGAAAATTATACTAAAAATGGCAGGATTCAGTTCAATTCAGATTTATTTGTGAAGTGCAAATTCACAACATATGTCTTAACTTAACATATTAAGGTACAGACCAAGCAAATTTTGCACAGAGAACCCAACAATTCAGAGTTGCCTTTGCATTGAGCAAGCAATCGGCAACAGTGAGAAGGAACCAAACCCCCATCCTGAACAACCCTAACTATAAACTTTACCAAAGAGGAAAGCTTTAAGCCGAATCTTAAATGCAGAGATGGTGTCTGCCTCCAGAACCCAAACTGGGAGCTGATTCCACAGCAGAGGAGCTGATAACTGAAGGCTCTGGGAACCACAAGTAGACCTGCAGTCTGAGAGCGAAGGGCTCCGTTAAGATGATACGGTACAATCAGGTCTTTTAGATAAGACGGAGCTGGTCATTAGGAGCTTTCTATGTTAGACACAGGATTTTGAATTCTATCCTGGATTTTAGAGGAGGCTGGTGAAGTTGGTCAGGTTTCTTGTTTAGCACTCAGTGAGCCAAGATATATATATAAAGTGTCGTAGCTGGTCAAACTGGCTTAAGTTCTTGGACAGCAGTCATCTATCATGACAAACTGCTGTGGAGCAAATGCAAGAGATGTTTCTGAGAAGTGCTTCTAAAGTTAAAGGCCCTCTTTAACCCTTGACTATTCTCTGTCTATCAAAGTTCTATATTTGGAGTTTTCTTTCTATTTAAATAAACCCATCCTGCCTTAAGATGACTTAGAGGTAAAATGTGTAGATGTATGAAGTCCCCGCCTCCGACTCTACCTACCCCTCCACACTCACTGCAGTCCGAGCACACCTGCTCACCTGAGACTCTGCTCAAACACTGTAGAACTACTTTACGCTACACAGTGGCAGGTTGTAAAATGTAATAATTCAGCCATGTATGTTTGACCTGGAAACTCAATCTAAAGAAGAATAATGATGCACAAAGCCCCACTCTGCAGGCTGACAGGATTGGTTCCATTGGTTACATGTAAAGCGCCGCTACAGCTCACCTGGCCCCATGTGCAGGATTACAGTCCCCATGTGGAGGTCATGTCCTCCCCCCATTCTTCTCCCCCACTTTCCTATCTCTCTCTCTCACTGCTCTATCCAATAAAGGCACAAAGACCAAAAAAATATCATTTAAAAAAAAACAAAAAAACCCCCCTGAAGTCTAAACCTGTGTTTTAGACACGGTCATCGGTTCACTTAAGTTTCAAGGTGAAAATGCTCAACCATCAGCGTCTTTAAACATATTTCCAGAACCTTTAGAGTCCTTACAAAGTGGACTTTAATGAAGCCTGCATGTGAATTCTGCCCGTCCGGTACATTCAGATCTCGCAGCAGGCAGCCGATTGGTGCAGGCGTCTTCTCCCTTGCGGTTTGATTGCTTACACAGTGGTGTTGTCATCGACAGTAAAATTAACAAATATTACAGCTTCCCACTGAGAACTGGGGAAGTATCCGTTTACAGTATAACTGGTATCAAAGGCCGGCCCTTTCAGTCACCCTCATCATGTGTTTACAGCTGGCTTTGGACTTTCAGACACTCTGATTGTGAAATGCTGTGGAGTCATAGAAAGGACATTCAAACCTCCAGCTTCATTTTCACTTTGAGTGCAGCAGCTGGTGCTGGTGTCTCTGCTGCACCACTAGGTGGCAGCTCTGTGCTGAGACGAGGATCTCTGAGCTCATGGTCCATGCACTATATTTCATATATATATGTTTCATAATGTAAAGATTTAATCAAACTTCTCTTTTCTCCATGTAGGGACCTCAGCACAGAAAACCTGCGTTTCCTCAGCAGCCGCCAGGCGCTGGCCGACCTGGCCCACTTCCGCACAGTGACAGCCGAGGCCCAAGGGCTGACCAACAGGAAGTGGGTGGCGTTTGGCGGGTCGTACCCAGGTTCTCTAGCTGCTTGGTTCAGGCTGAAGTACCCTCACCTGGTCCACGCCTCTGTGGCCACCAGTGCACCTGTTCATGCTACCGTCAACTTCCCAGGTATGAAGAGACATGACATGATGGAACCTGGGGTTAAACTGGCATTTGTAAGAAGGGGGAGCTTTTGTCCAGTGAGGTCAGGGCTCAGGATCAGACTAAACACAGTAGAAATAGGAACCATTTCCTCAGTAGAAAGTAGTTTTTGTTGAAACAGGACACACTGGGCTCTGTGGATGTAGGTCGTCCAGATTAACAGCAGCGATGCTTCTAGACATACTTGCTGCAGATGAATTTTCTGAATGTTAATGCAGACTAAATTACATTCACCTCCACCGTTCTGCTGGCATTTCAGAGTCAATTGTCTTTAATTAGTGTTAACTATCTAAATAGCCAGATTCTGATGAGGAGAACGGATGAAACAACATGTTAAATGATTTTAAAGTTCACCTGTAATACTGTGAAGCACCAAAGGACAACAACAACAACAGCCCAGTTACTGAGGCCGATAAAAACAACACGCTGCAGTGGCACAACATATTTATGAGCATTTTCATTTAACTCCGGCTTTAGGGAACATGGACATATCTGCTGTACATACAAACCAACATTTTTTTGCACTAAGCTTTCAACAGAAACTTGTAGGCTCAGTATAATAAACTCTGCTGTTCCTTATCGATTTAATGAAGTGATCAGACCAGTTCGTCCCTACAGTAACGTCTGTAATGCAAGTAATGCTGCATTTAAACCACAAAAACTCTCAAATTTGTCCAGAATAAACAGTATTAGTTGAAAATAAAATATACGGACAGCTCTGAAGGTGCTGGATTCATCCAAAAAACATTTCCAAGATGGAGACCAGCGAACAGCAAACTCAAGGCTTTAAAATGGAAGTCTGTAAACCAGTGGGTGACCACACAGGAGCTACGTTCATCTGTAAGATATAATCTGTAAATACCACAAAAAATAATGAAGCTGTTAAATCGTGCAGGTCAGCTTTACAGAATACACCCAGCAGCACTTTTTAGTATTTTTTTTAAACATCCTCTTTGGGGTTTACTTTGACTGGAACCTCTACGCTGTGCTCCAGTATCAACATCCTCATCCAACACATCAAGCGTTAAATTGAACTCCACAACAATTTTGCAGTTTTGCTCAGCGTCTTGGAAGTAAGAGTCCCAGACAGATCAAACAGGAGGGTTCGTTCTCTATCTGTGTCTGTGTTGTGCTTGGCGAGGCCCGTTGTTTTCCTCAGGAAGGCTGCTCGCTGGAATCAAGGTCAGAGGAGCTTTGAACATGGACCTACGCTGTTCCACCCACACACTGGAGCTATCTTGAGGACGCTATCGCACACGTTCGGGGCCACAATCCCTTTGACTTTGGGAAAACACCAGAGACAAAACACACAGAGAACAGGGTACACGGTGTCCTGACGTCAGGTGTCTTTTCTTCCTCCAGTTAGCTGCAGAGTTATTTCTTTCCATAACAACAGTGCAGTTAGTCAGCATTATGGCCAGCGAGAGGCCGGCTTTCACTTAAGAGGGAAAAGTTCCAAGATTTCGTAATGTGAAGTTTCTCCTCTGAGGGCATGCTTTTAGAGTTTCATAAACTGTGAAATTCACTCTTCATTTCACTTTCAACCTCACTGAAACCCTTCCTAAACAAAAACTCTCTCAAGCATTCCCACGCTGTTTTGAAGATGAATTGGCGCTTTCGCAGAGCCTCAGAAATAGTCCTGTATGTTTAACTGGGCTGTTTTTGTGTATTATTGTGGTCTTTTTATAGCAGCCCAGGTTTAAGTGTCCACCCCTCCCTCTGCGTCTGTGTTTTGCCAGAGTACTTGGAGGTTGTGTGGCGTTCGCTGGCCTCAGAGAACGCAGAGTGCCCTGTGCTGGTGAAAAAAGCTTCAGATGTCCTCGTGGAACGCCTGAAAGACCCCAAAACCTACGACAACATCACCAAAGACTTCAAGTACAGTACATTTTACTCTGTGGAACCGTTCCTTCTTTGTGCTCTTAATTACTGTACAATTTGAACCGAGCGAGGCCGCCGATGATGCACGTCAAACACGAGGCTGCACTTAAATTAAATCCTGAAAAGCAGATATTACTCGTTCTATTTAAATTTGCTGCACCGGGAAGAGCTCCTAATTGTCCTGTTTACTTTCAGTTTTATCTAAGCCTTCTGCACAGTAATTGTCTGACATGGTTTCCAGCCCGGGGCTTTGCTTCAGCTCTCATCTGAATAAATTTGTTGCTCTTTTAATTGCTGAGGTTCACTTTACATACTGAGGGTTCCTCTTCCTCTGAGTGGACGTGTTCAGGCTCAGCTGCTCCGGCATTTGTCTCTCTCTCCTGTTAGCTTTGCTGCTTTTCTTTTAGGGGCAGGACAAATTAGACCTCTATTAATCTCATTAGTTAATGAAATTTGGTGACCTGAGTCAACTCCCAGCACGTCTCCATCCATTGTCACACTGAGCTTCAAGTCTAATCAGACAGAGCGCTGAACACAGGCTGCCTGCAGGATTAAGGTCCGTTACTTAGGAGATAATTTCACTTTTCAAAATGAACAAATATAATTGGTTGGGATCGGTTCATTCAGTTAGAATAAAGCCACGATTAATATACATACTGTGACCGAGAGTTGTACGGCTTGATTGATGTCGCAGGATGGATGAAAGGCAATTCTTTTAAAATGCCAAATGAATTTACCCGGAAATGGTTACTCTAGCGGCTGCAAAGTAGCTCGGTGGTTAGCACTGTCGCCTCACAGCTAGAAGGTCGCTGAGCACGTCCCGGTGAGGACACCCGGGATCTTCCTGCGATGAGTCTCCATGTTCTCCCCGTGCAGCGTGGGTTCTCTCCGGGTTCTCCAGCTTCCTCCCACAGTCCAGAAACATGCTGAGGTTAATTGGTGATTGTAAATTGTCCGTAGGTGTGAATGTGAGTGTGCTTGGTTGTCTGTCTCTAAGTGTAGCCCTGTGATAGACTGGTTACCTGTCCAGGTGAACCTGCCTTCACCCTGAGTCAGCTGGGATAGACTCCACCCCCCATGACCCTGGTGAGGATTAAGGTGTAGAGATGATGGATGGATGCTCCAGTTTGGGGACAATCATGAAACTATTTGCTTTATTTTTGCTTATTCCAAGAGTGAGATGAGAAGCTTGATGCCATTCTCATCGCCGCCCATTGAAGAGCCCATATTCTGCTTTGTCAGTGTTCCTGTAATGTGTTGTATTGCTGCTTTTTGTGTATGTAAAAGGTATGCAAAACTACAAAGTCAAAAGTTCACAGAAAACAGTCCTGCTTTCCGACTGAACCAGCTCGTTTATCGTCCTTTTCTTCTGTTATCTATCTCACTATGTGACACATTTGCATAATGCCTGTCGAGCTGTTTTGTCCTCAGACGAGAGGAGGAAGCTACTTTGCGGTCCGCCCTGGTTTCCTCACTAAAACTGCTTCTGCTATATTACTCTTTTAGTCCACGTTTCACACGTGCAGTAGGTGTGTGTTTACGCACAATGCCGAGCAATCGCACTACTTCCCTTGTAGATGCTATTTTTGCAGAACATTCTGATGGTGCAGCGATGTTGATTTTCTTGAATGTAAAATGTGATCACGTCATCGTTTAATCCTGTCAGACGTTTAACAGTAGGCAGGTGTTTAAGAGATATCAGGTTCGAGAGTTTGGGACGGATGGATGAGCTGAAAACACAACGCCTCCAGCCACGTCTGTAGAGCTATTCTTCTAGACAGGCTCTTTATTCAGACTGTGAGCAGTGCTGCCGGTAAGGCGACACAGTTACATGCCAGCAGGTGATATCTGGCGCCATGTGAGAGGCTGAGGAGCACTGAGGGCTGTCTTGGGTCCTGCTTTGAGTCAGGTCCCTTTACAGCTTCATGAGCGTTGCCTCAAGCCCTTTTGGACTGAGCCTGGGCCTCTGGAATGTCGGACCTGCTCCAGAGAGGGTCTGCTTTAGTCTTGGATCTCTGTAACACAATGCCCACGTAACAGTATGATCCCCTGTTATTTAGATGTTTGCTTTATTTACATCACTATTTTTTCCCATTAGATGTTCTATTATTTCACTTGGTGTTACATAACATGATGCTGTTTCAACGGCAGAATATTAGTTAGAAAGACTAAAGCATTAGTTTTATTGCTTCAGTTTCTCAGCCCCCATTACATTATTTTCTTTTCGTTTTCTTCCATTGTTGTTTGTTACGAGCATGAAGTCATTCCTAACATGCTTGCGTCGTGTCTGCAGCCCTTCTGGCCGTCTCCGATGTTATTTTATACGTGTTCAGTTTGTCATAGTGACTGTAAGGTCAGTCAACATGATGAATAAGCAGCGGCTGCTGTAATGGTGCGGTTTGTCTCACAGAACTAATACTGTCACAGAGACACATGAAAACTGCCCCGACCACACTGGACATCTTTTATTTCAGCTTCTTGCAGATGGAGCAGACTGGAGATGCAGACATGTCCTCATGCAGGCGCAGAGGTCACATAGGTGGTTTGGAGGTTTGTCCAGCTTCCAAACCACAGTGGCTCAGAGAACACAGCACTTGCGTCACGATTTCATCATGAAGGAAGTGTCATTTACGGCACACACGGAAGAGCCGTTTCCAAAAAGCAACGTCACGTCATTTGCATCTTACCTAAACTTACCAGCGTGGAAGACCTCTGACTTTAGCACCCCGGATGCTCTGACAGACATGCTTGTACGTATATCTACATGCATAGACACCCACACCTAAGGGAAGAATAACAAACCGCTGTGCCTCATTACTGTCAACTTGACAGATGACCCTAATCAGCACACGTATATTGACTTTGGACAAATTAATCACTTTTTAATTAAAAAAGTTAAATTAGCTATTCAGGCCTCATGGCAGTCGGTTATCTCAGCAACCTCTAAACACATGTTGGGGCAAGTTGTGTATTTTCTCTTGAGTTTGTTTCCAGGAAGAAGAAAAAAAGTGCTGTGTTGCTAACTGCCCTCTTTGCTCTGCATCTCTCCCCCATCTCTGTCGTCCTCCATCTTCTTCTTCCTCTCCACCTTCCCTATTACCTTGCTTCCTTCCTTCCATCCGTTCCTCCTCTTTTCTCCTCTCCGGCTCCAGCCTGTGTTCCAAACTGCAGATCCAGACGGAGATGGACTCGGCCTACTTCCTGGAGACGCTGGCTGGCAGCTTCATGGACGTGGTCCAGTACAATGAAGACAACCGCGGGTTTGAGGTGAGAGGGAGTCTGGGTTAGCCGAACGGCACGAGTCAAACACCACTAGAAGTTGATTTCAGAGGCCGATGGTGATCAGTTTAGATTGATGGAATCAATAACTGACATTTTGAACTGAAAGTCTTTGTGTTTAAATGTTTGGTTTAATGCCACAATATGTATTTATTTGCTTCTCACAGCACAATGAGATGCTCAACAAGTCCTGCACGTCCTGATAGAAATATGTTGCTTAAATTACAACTTTAGCTTGTTTTACCAAAGTTATCCCAGTTGACAAGCTAATATTCATCAGGTGGATCATCGTATATCCACAGGTTTGGTTCATTTTGGCTGCTTGTGTTCTCTGTAGGAGTCACTGCCTCTAACAAATAGAGACAATAATCTCCTCCTGCCTCAAACTGGTTTAGATGTAACTGTGCAACGTTGCATCCCTCTAGAATCCACAGATCTATGAAGTCCCCACCTCTCCCACTCACTGCAGCTGGAGCACACCTGCTCACCTACTCTGTCCAAACACAGTAGATCTACTCTACATTACACAGTGAATGTATGTATGGAACCCCACGTCTCTGAATCTAAAAACGCCATACGGACATGTGAACATGGTAAATTAAAAAAACAACTACATTTTACCCAGAAAGCCTTCTCAGCTTCAGGGGGGAAAAAAGTCAGCCAGTATTTCTCAAAGTCCAGAATGCTTCCTTGGTAGAACATGTCCTTCCAGTTCTCGTCCTTCACTGGCAAGGCAAGGCTCCTTCCTATCATCTGGAGAGCGCATGATGGAATGAATGCAGACATGCATCACTGAAAAGGTGCCACCTTCAATTCCAAGCATGGTATGGTGGGTTCACAGCAAGAACACCGAGTATATGAAGAGACATCCTTGAAAAGTCACTGAAGGAAGGACTCCTCAGACTTCCTTTGGTGGGGTTCGATGTAGAAGCGTGCTAGGAATGCAACTATGAAGGGTCTGTCCTTTGAGAAGCAGTTTCTGTGTGCAGTAAAGATCACACATCACTTTAAATACAGACTGACACTAACTCTCCAACATGTGTACTGATGCATGTCTGCAGCTGTTGGCGTGGATACACAGTAATACGCCTGTGTGGGTATTTAGCAATGTGTTAAGTACGACATGGTGTTTGCATGATGACCACGATAAAAGAACCTAAAGTTGTACAAAGCTTTTGTAGATCAGCGGTTGGCCCTAGTGTCCAGGCTGGGACACTGATGGAAGGCAGCTATGAGGTGTCGGAGGGCTACAGACAGCCCAACAGCACGACGCTGAAACATAATAAAGCTTGTATTGCCAAACAGCGGGAGGCCCTGAGATATTGCCTTATAAGAGGGTCTCCAGGGTTCCCGAAGCCGGTTGCTTGCTCACTTCGTCTACTCGTCTATATAAGAGCCTGTTTTGTAACCTACTTAAACTATAGGTGGCTTGTGACTCAGCTAAAAAGAGAGGCCAGTTCAGGAGGTAGGCGGTCGGTTTTAAAAGAAGGAAAGACACCAGTCTAGTTTGAATAACGCTTATTAACATCTCAGAGTCAGTAAAGTTCCTGATGAAATCGTAAAACCCTCCCGTCCTGTTTCCACAGACGTTTTCTCACGCTGCAATTGTCTACAAGTTATGTTGATTATGCCTTAAGATATAATAATAAGAGATGATCAAAACATGGATCAAACATATATGATCCTAACGAGCTCTGTGTGTCGTTATCTTCAGTTTGAACACGTGTTGCTGAATTACATCAACATTACAACTTTCCAGCACAGACTAGTTTTATGGTGTTTGAGCAGAGTCGTAGGTGAGCTGGTGTGCTCAAGCTGCAGAGAGGAGGGAGGCGGCAACAGACAGGGATTTCATAGATCCACACATTCTAGAGGGAGCGACGGTGTGAAGCCACTTTAAGATAGAAAAGGACTGTTGTCATGGAAATTTTTAAGGTTTAATCAAACCAGTAGTGAGGAGACCTTAAGGCTGATGCTTTTAGTCTTATCTGGTAAAAATAAAATATTTCTGGTCAGCAGTGCATGGTCCCATCATGCAAGTACAGCGTTGCATCATTACATTCATTTGTCCCTGTCTGTCTTTAGCTAAAGAGTACGTTACTGCTGCAGCACCGCTAGGGGGGCTCACAATGGACCGTTCTAGGATTGGCTAAGAGTTTACAACCATGCTAGTGGCTCAGCAAGGCTTCAATCACCAAAGTCAAAGGACATACAAGGCTGATGGTACGTCCTCTGGGGACCATGAATGCCGGTACAAAGTTTGTTGCTAATCCATCAGCTAGGTGTTGAGATGTTTTACAGACTAACAGAAGACTTTACCAAAGAATCAGGATGTATCCTCTGGGGACCACGAATGTCTACACAGAAAGTCAGTGCAATCCAACCAGGAGCTGTTGACATGTTTCACGCTGCAGTGGTCCATGGGCCAAGCAGCCAGTGTTCCCATCACTGACTGTACATAAAGATGGACGCCTACACGACCCACAATGCAAACTTACTGCAGGTTGTTCACTCAGAGATTTCAGCGTGTTATGCTACTAGCAGCTAGCATAGCTTCACCTCACCACCCCCGAGTAGAGATGTGGAGCTGACTGCAGAGGTTCATTAAGATCTCCTCCTTAGAACTCCCAGATCTGTAATTTTCTAAAAACCTGTTGGTTTTGCTGACTCGAGTCAATCACTGGAGATGATTTTACAGATTTCCCACAACTCCTATCTGGAGTGTCATGTCTCTGCTGTCTCACATGGAGTAGTCCTCCCCTATAAATACACAGAATCAGTGGAGTTGCCCTTTAAACCTACTTCTAGGCAGCTAATAGGAGGCAGACAAAAGGGCAGTGGGCCGACTGTGGGACTGCTGGTACGACTGGGTTAGCTGTGTTTTATGACATACGTGTTGTCTGTGCAGCAGTTTGTTTTTAATGCCAGATGATTTTCTTATAGTACTGCTTTGTGTCACAATCCACTTTGAAAAAAACAGATAATAAATTACGTATGGTGGTATTTTGCCCTGCCAAAGCTGCCATATCCCCACATTATTACATCATCTTCAAACAAGTCTCCATTAAAACGAGATGTACACGTGGGATTTATCTCCATGATCATCTGTTACTGTACGTCTGATTCCCTTTTTGTGTCCATATTATTTTTATTTTTTTTTACCAGTTACCCGTCTTTTCTCCTCCCCTTTCTTCATCCCATCCCCTCTCTGTCCCCCTGGTGCCTTGAGGAGACGTGAGTCAGGTTACCAATAAGCTGATGTGAAAAAGTAACAAAAGACTCTTTGGTCTCTCTGGTTTCCTGTCGCCCCAAGCTAAAGAGACGCTTATAAAAGAACTGAGAGGAGCGGTGGGCCACAGAATCCACAGCGCTAGCAGACAGGCAGAGCCAACAGCTGCCTCTCTGACACAAAAGGCTGGGTACAGATCAAACTAGCAGGTTTTAGGTACCACTGAGGAATTTGGGTAAGAACTAGGACTGAGGTGTAACTCAATCAGAAGAGTCAGAGCGGTGGCTTCTCAGTCGAGGGGTTATCAATGGGGCGCTTTATAAAATAGGGAAGGACATTATGTAACGCCACAGCTTGTGGAACAAGCGCTAACAGTTCCTCTTTCTACACAGAGGATGCAGGGAGATGCAGAGGGAATAGTGGTGGGTCATTTATAGTTAACAAGGATTTTATTTTAACAAATGTCATCACTGCCAGCCCCTCATTCCAATAAATACCACACTTTTTAGTAGACAGGTGCATAAACGGAGCAGGAGCTTTGTGCCTTTATGATTGGTGCTGTGGGTATACAGAGAGCAGATCCCTCCTGTGATCCAGACGTTGCTTTGAGCCGCCGCTCTACAGAGATTAATAAAGCTTCCCTGATTCTGAGCTGTCTTCTCCTCTAATTCTTAATTGGTTTGATTCATTTAAAGTAATTTGGATGTGTAGTAGCTCAACAGCAAGGTTAGAATAAACTGTAAGCCACATGTGATGCATTAACACGTACAGTGAAAGCTATTTAAGATTACTACTCTTGCTGTCGGGATTGGGCACTTTGTCCAGCTAAAAGCAAGCAGGACCTGCTTTTAGTTTTGGTCTGTAGTCCTGTGAGCCAAGTGCTTAGAAATGAGGATGTCCAGACAGTACAATGAAGATGTTCTCCTCCACAGACGTGCATCAAAGCAGGTGAAAACTAAACTCTGTGCTCCACCACTAGTTTCTGTTTTGCAAATTACTGCAGAGACACCAGATGAATTTCACCCTCATTTGCATAGAAGTGTTTTTTTTCCCAGCATCGACCTCTTGTTGCACAGCTAGTCAGTCCCCCATCACCTGGAATCCCACAATGCTTTGTGTGCATGTCCAATAGGAAATGACTGATGCCAATCTTATCTCCTTCACAATAATCCTGATGCATCCCTGTGCATTCACAGAGCTGATTCAGAGGGAACATTTCTGTCCCGCTTGCCTGGAATCAGTTCATTTTGGTGTCAGCATCATTTCTTCTGCACAATGTGCAAAAAAAAAAGAAACGACATTGGCGACTCCAAAATAAATCACCCAATCCCACATACAAGCTGCACACACTGTCATGTGGTGTTATTAAAGCACTAATTACATAAAATCTAAAAAACAATCTCGGCTCATTCATTTAGCAGCTGTTAAATGAGTTTCTTCCCATATCAGAGTTCAGGAACAGCTAATAAATGAAGCCTTAGACCAGATTGTTCATCCAAAAGCATGATCTCTCACTTATTTCTTCTGACATCTAGCCGTGTGGATAGTTTCAGTTCCACATCTAACACAATACCACTTTGTGTTGTGGCTGTGGTGTAGTGCCAGATTAGCAGCCAGGCCAGCGATCACATCTGCTTCTCAAGCTGGGATCTGAGAGAGCGCTGTTTACATCACCCTATACAATGCACAGTAAACGGCAAAATGGCTCCACTGACATAGTTTTGGTAGGAAGTTTTTTTTATGGGCCTCTCCAGTGTGCAACAAACAATGGACAATGTTGTTGCTTTTGTTTTTAAAAAAAAAGCTGCATTTGTTTTAAGCAAATGTCTTCTTCTGTGTTTTTATGGGAACACTCAGCAGCTGAACAACATTTAGAAATTCCACTTATCAGTCGGCCTGTATTGAAATAAACTCAGTTATATTTCTATCTTGTGACTGTTTCTGATTTTACCACACATTTTTATTATTGTCTTTACTAATGTGCTTGTTGTCCTCCTCTGTTTGCTCTGTTCGTGTCCATACAGGGTGTGACGGGCACCAACATCACGATCAAGGTGCTGTGTGGTGTGATGAGCGACTCTTCACTCGGAGACCCTTACGCCCGATATGTCGCCGTGGCCCGCCTCATGATGGACACCTTCTCTACTAAATGCCTGGACGCCAGCTTCAGCAACTACATCAGAGACATGACTAACACATCCTGGGATGGGCCGGCTGCAGGGGGAGGTGGGTGTGGACGTTTTGTACTGGGAAGTGGTATTTTGTTTGTGCAAATAAGGTTATTTTAGCTCCACTGCAAAACAGCTATTTTTAAGCACCTTGTATTTTGGGGTCGCTTTTGTTGCTCGGTTGTCAGGTAGTTGTCCTCAAATGATGGAGAAACACTGTAATGTCTCATCGAAACTTTCCACCGTCACCGTAACACCGGAGCAATCAAGTGCAGTCGCCTCAGGAGGCAGAATATAATGCAGCCACAAGACGGGCTGTGTGTTTGGATGTGGTCACAATCATAAGCTAGCAAACCAACCGTTGGGTGTTGGTGAAAGGCTTTTTACAGAACGGTAGGTCATAGGTCACAAAAATAAAAGACCGTCAGACAGGTTGTGGCGAAGAAGGACCACCAAAAGCGTGGTTATATCACTGGACTACCAAACACAGCAGCTATAAGACATGTTCACCCCGTCACAAGTTTTCTCCTTTTGTTGTTTTTCAGCACTGAAACGTGGTCACGAACAAGTCGACAAAAAAAAAAAACCCTTTCATGTCAAAGTAAAAACAGATTTCTACTAAGTTATTGTAAATTGATTTAAAATACAAGATGTACAAGATGATTGAAAAAGTAATTTCAACAGTTTCTGTGCAGCTTTGGATGAATGACGAGTTCATTTGCAAAAACAGATTTTCAGAAAGCCTATTTTTTTGTTGTTTGCTTGAGATAATATCAATTAAATTAAAGCTGAGTGGATGTGACTCAGTAGAAATGACGTTTGATGTCTCAGGTAGATGATGGAACAGTGGGTCTCCTGAAGGTTTGTGAAGACGGAGTTATCTGTTTTTGGAAATGACCTCTTCGTCTGCTTCAGGTCACTGTCTTGCTGGAAGAAAATATTCTTAGTCGCAGTTTGTTTTGCAGAGTACATCAGGCTTCCTCAGGCTTTTCTCATATTTTGCTGCATTCATTTTACCCTCGACCTTTACAAGCCTCTCAGAGCCTGCTGCTGAGGAGCAGTTTTACGTGATGCTGCCACCACCATGCTTCACCATGCTGGTGATGGTGTGCAGTGATTGGTTTCCAGCGTCTCGTCTGATGAACAAAAAGCAAATTAAATTGACCACAATTTATTGTTAAAAAGGGAACTTAATACATTTTAGAGGCACCATATTTAAAAAGTAAATACTAGTATGCTATAAATATTACCTATATAGATAAAGGATATTATTCTTGCACCGTGCATCAACTTTGGATGACGGAAACGGGTTCTCTGCGTTCCATCTGGTGTCATTGCTCCGAGCTGGTGGTTCTCATTCCCAGCACCAGCTCCATGAGTGGGAGGGCTGAGGGGGACCACAGAAACAGGATGTGGTCACTTGAAAAGCCACTGCGATGCGCCTGTATAAACTCCTCCAGCCACCCCCTTGTGTTGTGGCTCCGATCGCCCTCTTTCCTCTCTTAATTAGGGCTGAATAAGTGAATGTGAATACTTTCTTTGAGGCCGTCTTTAACTAATTGTCAGCCCTGTGTCATTAGTGCCTTGATTTCAAACAACCAAATGGATGTTCTGACCACGGGTAATTTTCTGTTTATTGTCAGGGAGACAGTGGGTCTACCAGACCTGCAGTGAATTTGGATTTTACCAGAGCACCGATTCACCCAACCAGCCGTTCTCTGGCTTCCCTCTTGCGTGAGTACTCTCTGCCTGATAGACTCATAATTGTGTTGTTGTTTTTGAACACCCCTGCACCTGCTGCCTCTTCACCTACACCCACTTCCACATCACCTTGCATTGTTAAACCGTTGTTATTCTCACCCAGGTATCAGGTGAAACAGTGTGCAGACTTCTACAACATCAGCGCAGAGCAGGTGGCGGAGGCCGTCGTCCAGACTAATGAGAACTACGGCGGCTATGACATCCGCTCCAGCAGGATAGTTTTCCCCAACGGCTCCATTGACCCCTGGCACGCCTTGGGGATCACCCAGGACGTCGCTCCCGACCTGCCTGCTGTTTTCATCAAAGGTGAGAACAAATAATGCATAATGGATGATGCCACTGAAACTCGCCCATTTGCTCCTAATGCCCATCTACTCCTCATACATATTCATCTGGTAATTTGCTTTTTAAAATCCTTCCTGACATCAAGGTGAGAACTGGAATGAATTCTGAATAAAAAATTAGAGGTTTTTAGAATTCAAGGTTACATGTAGCCGCGTAACCACAGGAGCAAAAGTTGTAGCTGTGTGTTGAAACAGAACCAACTTTGATAAGTTTCCTGGACATTTTTTTAATAAACTCCGTCCATCTAATGCACACCGAGGCTTATGTGTGATGTATGTTGTAGCCAAAGACTGAGAAGCCGAGCAGGCAGAACAATGCCTCACTTGTTCAACTCTAATTTTAATAGGTGGATAATTGTTTTTGGAACTCTCTGCTTCTGTTTTTTTTGCTGCTGTATCCCTCATGTTTATATTTTTCTGTGATCCAGGAACAGCTCACTGTGCCAACATGTACCCGGCCAGGAGCCAAGATCTCACACAGCTGTCTCTGGCCCGCGATCACATCTACGTTCTCCTCCAGCAGTGGCTGAAGCAGTAACTTGTAGTTAAGAAATTCAATCAGTGACTTTGCAAAGCAAAAAAAAAATCATTCTGGATGACTGACGCTAGAACAAGACTGCTTGTTTTGCTGCCAAATTTATCACTGCCTTGAAATGACACGTTGCACAAGCATCTGTAGGTACAAAATTCAGGTATTTTAAAGGGAATGTATTGAGCTTTTCCTGATTTTCTGCCGTGTATATAATGTTGGATGTTGATATTAAATGAGCTGAAAGGTTTTCAATGTTTTCTTTCTACTTTCGCATTTCACTTTTTGACTTTGGCTGATGTCAGCGCGTCATAAAGTTCTTTATACAGTCGTCTGTTTAAATCACAGCGATGCCATGAGGTCCAACTGCTGTCTTCTCTGTAAATGTGTGTGCATGTTCTAGCAAAAGAGTTTACAAATAAAATAGCTGAGGGAGATGCTGACAGCTGACAGCACAATAACATGATTCTTCCTACGTTACCTTTGGTTTTTTGACAGCCTTCCACTTCACACTTCTCCATCGTCCAAATTAAATCTGCTGCAGGTGAATCTGAGACGCTGCCATTTTCAGTCAAGAATGAGAAATGATGCTACTTTGTAGGTTTACAGTTTGCTTTCTGAGTTTGCATCCTAGCAAGAAGATGATGTGATGCTTACAACTACTGGGTGCTGGACCTGGGGAGGCTTCCAGAAGCTGGCCAATCAGGAAAAAGTGAGGTTTTTGGAAAGGGGGCCTCAAAGGGATGCAAGTTGGCACAATATGTCTCCTTTGAATGAGTGACGGGCTGCAGGTGGCTCGGTGGTTAGTACCGTCGCCTCGCAGCTAGAAGGTCGCCGGTTGGCGTCCCGGTGAGGACACCCGGGATCTTCCTGCGTGGAGTCTCCATGTTCTCCCCGTGCAGCGTGGGTTCTCTCCGGGTTCTCCGGCTTCCTCCCATAGTCCAGAAACATGCTGAGGTTAATTGGTGATTGTAAATTGTCCGTAGGTGTGAATGTGAGTGTGCTTGGTTGTCTGTCTCTAAGTGTAGCCCTGTGATAGACTGGTTACCTGTCCAGGTGAACCTGCCTTCACCCTCAGTCAGCTGGGATAGGCTCCGCCCCCCATGACCCTGGTGAGGATTAAGGTGTAGAGATGATGAATGAGTGAGAACAATTTTCAGCTGATGAATAAAGATGTCTTTTTATGATTTTCTGCATTTTCAGTTTCAGTCTGAGGTGCGTTGCAAAGGTGATCAATAAAAGTTTGAACATTAAAGAAGAATTAGTCCTTGGGTTAGTTGGCCCTCGACGTATAAACCACATGAACACCGTCAGGTTTTATTCAGGTTTGTGTAATTAAATTAAACTTTTATGTTGCATTGCTTATGTGGAGTAATTCAGTAAAAACCACAATAATTTCAAAAACATTTTCTGAGATTTTTCAAAGGAAAGGGCAAGAATGCCAAATTGAAATGTCCGCAGCATCGCAGCTCCTTTTAGTCAGAGTCAGCAGCGTCACTGTCTTTTGTTGCAGGCTATTTACCAATGCTTTCTGCACACACAACACATTATGAGTCCACCTCTTGAGAAATACTTTTCATATTGAGAAACTTTATCTTTCATTGCAGAAATTTCAGCAGCTTTCAACATAAAGGTTATCAGTCAGTTTATCACAATCACAACTGCAAACTCACTCTTTCACTGCAGCATCTGAGAACCGGCATCCTGTTCAAACAGGCCGCAATGAAAAAAGAAAAATACTTTCACTGGGAATTTCTACCAGAAGTGACTCCTCTTCATACACAAACATACAAGTCAGACATCTGTTCCTGTTCAGCACAAGTTTAGTCTTGTTTGATGATAAGAGTGTGACGAAAAAAATGTCTTGGTTGCTCAACGAGAACGTGATTGTATCTCCAGCAGGACACAGAGATGGTGTTTCAAACACATCAGGACCTGGAAATGGCTCGACTGGGTTGGATGTTCTATTACAATGCTCTCATCTTTTGCTTTGACGCAGAAGGATTTAGTTTGAAAGCAGCAACTACAATTGAAGAACAGTAAGCGGCCTTGGATGGCATGATTACAGCACACAGCTGCACGTTCACTGCCTACCGCCCGAAAACTCTCAGACACGATGACCCCGCTTTGCTCCACAGTGTTTATTTTCACAACAAGTCCCATCTCTGCGTCCCAGCTGGACAGGCAAGACCCCCACTCAAACCGAGCAGCCACAACCACAATCCTGCCCTGAATCCAGACTCGCCGTGGGTGTCCGGTGCCGGAGCAGTGGGTTCTCAGAGCCTCCACCTAAACGATCCGTCAGGTCCGGTGGCTGTGAAACTAATCTGTTAAAGTGGAGGTTCAAGCCACCGAATATACACGTGAAATATATATTATTATGACAGACCACAATCCAGTCTTTGCTAAAGTAAACATTTACGATGGCTTTAGCCGTAATTGCCCATACACTCTCATTTAATCCCCTGTAATTCAAACCTCCGAGCACCTATTCGTAATCCTCTCGCTGGCAGCGGCAGCAGGATGTATTTGAGACTCTCGGGCTCTTTTCAGGTGTTTTTGTGTGCGTTCACCACCCGGCTGCATCGCCTCATCAGAAACACAAGCATCAGGCGCTGCTTTGTCAGGGAAAACTTTTATCACTCAGAGGCTGTGTGAATACAAAATCACATCAAAACTGAACAAAACATCGGTATGAAAAATTATATCGAGGGAAAACAGGACAGTTCAGCCACACTGGGTGTAAACAGCCTCCTTAGCAACAACTTTCTTTTTCTAATAAAATACAAATATATCAAAAATCTATACAACTTGTACAGAAGATGTAAGATCAGGGGAATACATCCAGACCACAGCTTTGTTATTATAAAATTAAATATGAAATCTTGAAAAGGGGCATCTTCACCAGCACTCAGGAGAAACCCTGTCTTATGAGTTACTTTGAGCCTGGCTAACTTTCTACTTATGCACATGATTAACTTTATTTTCAGTTGTTCTTGTGTTACACAACACATACAGAAATTATTTTAGATTTTTTTTTAGACGGTCTGATTATTAGAAATATATGTATGTGGCTAAAAAAGCTATATCTTTACCTTCACTTTATTATTGTTAATATTCAATTTCTAATTACTAGTGATGCTGAAGTTACAGCAGCAAAGACTTCAAACTATAGCTAGCACGTGCTACAGTACGCTAGTATAGCATAGCGCTTTTAGCTTAACATAAAGTCAGCCAGTAAAGCCAGTCAGCCTTTCAGACAGACAATAATATATATTTTAATGCTGGACAGCTGTTTTGTCACTCTCATAATAGTGTACAGAATTTATCACAAATCTAACATTAGCAATGCTATAGATACTGAAAATCATCATTTTTGGGGCTTTCTTGCTGGAATGGGTGTCTTCCTCTAAAGTCCTACTTTTACACTTTCAAGTTACAGAATTATTATTTTTTTGTTCTTTTTTATCAAATAAATGGATAACCCTCCATCGAACTCTTGTGTTAACAGCAGTAAACAATTTGTATATGAATATTCCTTTAAAAACTACAGACTGAAGCTCATTTTGTACTTGATTTAAAACCACTTCTTTGTACTTCATTGGACCAGTAAGATGATTTCAGTGTTATTTAAAGATTAGTATGGTCACGTTCATCCAATAAAAGACCTAAAATAAAAGGTAATTGGCAGGAGGGGACATTCTGGGGCATCTTACTCAGGTTTATTCTGTACTTCACACAAACGTTTCTGCTGGTGTTTGAAGTTATAAAGGTCAAGTCGTCTTTACAGGCTCTCGGTAATTTTCCACTTCACTGACACAACATAATTAATGTTAATGTCTGTGTGTTGTTGTTAAACCTTCCCCACCTCCTGCCCTAAACAACGTGCAACTTCTCTGATGCGTCAAGGTAGCCACAATTAGCAAAGACGCAGCCGGAAGTTGCAACATGAACCTAAACATAAAGCTGATTTCCTTTTATTGTTTGTTTGTTTATTCGAAAAGAAAATGAATAAAACAGCAAAATACAGAAACAAAATAGCATTGGTAAATTATATTAAACTGTGGCCCTTGTATTTATTCAGTATACGGTTGTATTATTAAATCTGTGGACTGCTGCGGGGACTCCTGCGCTTTTACTTTGAAAGTGACGCGCATGCTCCGTTGCGCGGTGCTTGACGGCTTCATGAGACGCTCACTTGTGCTGTTGTTTGGTCGGAAGGCGGAGTTCGGGCCAATAAATTCCTGTTAGAAACAACGGCGGAGTCAGTAGTAGCGCTCACTTTCACTGGACTAAAGACTATTTTCACATTAAAGTTTCGGAGCAGCTTCGGTTTCTCGCTCGAGCAGCGGACTGAGAGGTTTTAATTCCACCTGCGGGACCAGATCAAGCAGCGTCACCTCGTCATAGGTAAGGACCCGCGTCTAAACCTGACTTTTCCCCCCAATAAATATGGTTATTTTAACAGATTCAGACGTTATATTTATCTTAACAACACTTCATGGCACCTTGTAGTCTGCATTCAGGCCAAACAAGTTCCTCACAGCTGATTAAATCTATTTTCTAAAAGTGCTAAATAACCAATGTGCGTCAGGTGGGTTTGGTCAGACCCTTTAAATGAGCTCCCTGCAACTAATTAACATAAGCCAGCCGCGGAAAACCTGTCTTACTTGGTCTTACTTGGTCTTACTTTAAGTTATGTTAACGTGACTTGCATTACAACTGGTCACACAAGAAGTGCGCCTCACAGCCCGCTGCTTCTGCTGGACCTCCTGCAGTTGCTCATTTTCATGTATGAGGAGCTCAAGAAGCGCCTGAGCTCCGTTCATGAAGCTTTTACAGACACACGACACACTGTGAAGAACATTCTTCCACTTTAACCCAAGATTAGTCAGCTTTAAGGCATGTGCATCCACTTCTAAATAAATAAAATGCAAAGTGTGACCAGGTTTCCTGTCACTTTTCTACCAGAAGAAGACCAATCTGTGAGTATTAGTGGCCTAACATGGCAGATTTATTGACACTAATATTGCCATGTTATGTCAAACTTGCTTCATACAAGGAACTCAAAATGTCCCAATTTTCTAAATAAAATAGTTTTTCCATTTAAACAAACTCCCTGTCAAAGCTAGTTTTCTAAAGTTTCTGAGCTCAATATCAGATATTTAGCTGTGAATCTACCTGCAGCAGCTCTAACCAACACTTGAGTGCATTTCACGCTGCAGCTGAGGGAAACCAGCATGTTTACCGCTCAGCCGTCCACAATAAATCACCAGCAGACGTCCAGTCGTGCTCCTGTGGTTCTGCTCCGGGGAGTGGAGCCTGAATCACGCTCCTAAAATGGTACCAAAGATTCAATTTGGTCTAAAATTAAAACAAAAGCAGGGAGCAGTTTCGCTGTTCTGGTTAAAGTTAGACGGTGATATTTTGACTGTGTGAGTAAGAGTTAGTCAGACCGAGCAGCAGATCAGAGGATTTCTCTGCCTTAAGGACGGGCAAAGGCAGCTGCAAGAATCCCTACAATGATGGATTGTTGTTTTTCTACATGTGTACTTGTTCAGAAAGCATGACTCTCAGCTATGCATGCTCCTAGTAATCAGTGGGTTTCATACAAACTGCCTCTGCTCTTCTGTTCTTTGTCTCTCACGAGGTGCCAAAGGGATCAGAATGAAGCACATCTCCGTATTGTGCTTGTGTGTGCTGGTGACCTTGTTTGGCCATCAGGGCGTTCTGTCCCAAGCCCCCTCCTACGGCGAGCGGGGCTCTGATCTCGGCATACAGGTGTTTCAGCAAGTAGTCCGCAACAAGCCCCTGGAAAACGTGGTGCTTTCTCCCCATGGTGTGGCTTCCATCCTGGGCATGCTGCTACCTGGAGCCTATGGGGACACACGGAAGCAAATCCTGAACGCTCTCCGTTACAAGAAGAACGGTGAGGGCTGTTCTGGTGCTGGAGTTCTGCTATTGAACAGTATATGAAAGCTGTGTCTAGGCACTAGAATGTGGTGGATTAGCTCCACATGAGCTGAAGTACCAGTAGTCAGAGGAGCCTTAACAAACTGAATATGTTTAAACCTGTGAGCAGTGTTTGAGTCATAATTCAAAGTGTCACTGGTGTGCACAGGCCCATACAGGATGCTGAAGAAGCTGCACAAGACCTTGACAGCCAAGTCCAACCAGGACGTAGTGCTGATCGCAAACGCCATGTTCAGCCAGATCGGTTTCCCCATGGAGGAGACCTTTGTGGAAACCAACAGAGCCAACTTTCAGTGCGACAGAAGGAGCCTGGACTTCAGCAACCCCAATGCAGCAGCCGATGAAATCAACGAATGGGTCAACAATAAGACCAAAGGTTGGAATATTGGTTTGAATAAAGCAGCAGTTAGAAATATTGTGAAACAGCTCTTGAACAGGCAGATGTGAGAATATTTTTTGGAAACAGATGCGAAATCTGTCTCAAAAATCTTCAATTTCCATTTTTATAAGTTCAGTTATGTGTCAAAGTAAATACATTTCTCATGTTTTGAGAGGAAAAGCCTGAAAGTCACTTAGAAATGGGCACAAAATGGTTTCTTGAGCAGAGTTTCAACAGAGATGTAATGGTTATCATCTGTATTAGCCCTTTTGGCTTCCCAGTGCCCTTGGATGGGGCAGTTTGGAGTTGGATAGTTGGATATACCACACAAAAATAAAGACATTTAAACTGCTGTTGGTTTCTTGTGTTTTTCACAGACCACAGTATAAATCCTTGGCTTGGTATTGTGCTCCATTTTGTGTTGAGTTTTGTGTCCTTGTGCGGTGCTGCATTATTACTTCCTCGTCTGTCCTGAAGTGAATACCAAAGATGAGGTGGGTTTTTTTTATCAAGCCTTGCTGACTGAGTGATGATCTGTGTTGCACATTTTTCCAGGTCACATCCCCAGCTTGATCAAAGCAGACATGCTGGATCCGGCTCTGACCCGTCTCGTGGCTGTCAACTCCATCTTCTTCAAAGGCTTGTGGAAGTCCCGCTTCCAGCCCGAGAACACCAAGATGAGGCCCTTCAACGGGGGTGATGGAAGTGTATATAAAGTCCCGATGATGTCCCAGCTCTCTGTGTTCAATACAGGTGAGTGTTGTGTTGTGTCCTCTGTCTAAGAATAACCAGGAGGCATTTAATTATGTTCTCAAGCTGGAGATGCGTTCTTGACGTCTGTTTAAACAGTCTTACAGCTGTGCAACATTCAGGATTAGTGGGTTTTCCACAGAGTAGTCAAAGATGGAGAAAATGGAAGTAGCGAGCGTGACATCACCCACTGATGTGGACTGCTGTTTTGAGGTTTTCAGTTTTGCCGGCTCCGTTTAGTGTTTTGAAACTGATGAGTGAGGGACGGATCTGACTGAAGACTCAAGGACTCAGTGACTTGGTAGCAACCTCTGAATTACAAGGTAGCCCCACTCTGAAGCATGCCCCGCTATGTAATCTGTTTTACTTAAAATGGGACTGTTATTTACAAAATGAACATCATGCTGCATTCAGAAAGTTTTAAAACTACATGTTGAGACTGTAAACTCCAAAGAAAACAGATCAAGGGAGAAGTTGGGTCTTTTTATAGGAATGCACCAAATATCGGCGACCACATCGGTATCGGCCGATATTGGTGTTTTATCTGATATATCGGTATCTGTCCGATGAACAAGTTTAGCTGATGATTGTCCAACATCAGCGCCTTCGTCTCTACGTTTGATGTTGCTGCTGTTTCACAGATGTTTTTACTTAAATGGTCCTTTAACGTTAAATATGTTAAAATTTGTTTTACTTTTGTTTCCTAATAAAGAAGACTATGTGGTCTAATTTAGGTTTCTTTTGAATAGTTTTCTCACGGTGCTTACTTACGATAATTTTTCGGTGTGAACAAAAATGGAATATCGACATTGGTGATATCGGTTATCAGAAATCTGAATATCGTGCATCACCAGTCATTTTCTCATAGACTTTTCTACAGTCAGATTTCTTTTGCAACCAAAGGAGTCGCCCCCTGCTGGCTGTCAAAAAAGAATGTCGGCCCCTAAACGTTGGCGTCACCTTTCAGACCTGCAGGCTGCATCCATCTTATATATACGTCTATGATTGTAGCATGAAAGTCATATTCACCGTTTTCCACCAAAGTGCGTTGTGTGCGTCCTTTAGGTCTAATGTGTTGGATGTATGCTCCTTCCTACTGAACCTGTGCAAAGCCAAAACATGCCTTAAACCTGCAGTGTAGAACGTTTGTTTCCCTCTTCTGGCAGTGACAGTAAATGCTGTTGACACTTCTGGGTGTCTGCTCTAAGTTGATGTTGTCACTACCTGATATGCGGCTCCAGCTCCAGTCATCCCAGTCACTATGGGTTTTTTTCCCCCTCTTCAGCTCTGGCAAAAACCGGCCGTGGCTGCTTGACTCAAACCACATTTGTGCCGGTATGCCAGGGTGGGAATGTCGCCACAGAAACCAAGTTCAATACCTCAGTATGCTGTGAGATACAGGGAGGTTTCCCCGGCACAGATGGGCCTGATGGGCATGGTGTGTGGTTAGCGCTTTTAATGCAACAAACGTATACCGAAAATATATGCACACTTGAAATCCATATTTTTTTGTCACTTGCATCAAACTCCACAGGATGACTTTAACTCTAGAATAGGTTGGTGGGCTTTTTTGTGGGTAACCCGTGCATGTCTGAACTGTCCTGAATATTCAGGGGCAGCAAACGGGCCTTTCAGCAGCTGCTGTTCTACTTAGTTCTGCCACATCGCTATACTTCAGATTTAATCATGACTCTGTTTTAATTTAGTTTGGTTTTTATGGTGCAGTTTCAGCATTGCCAGTTTATGATTCACAGACTAGCAGGGTCGAGCTCTCAAGAAATGCAGGCTTAGACACGCCACATCCGTAGGATATTATTTAGTTCTGTGTGAAATGAAATGATATACCAGTCAGTGGTCTATATTTAGATGAGTTGCCAGAACTAGCATGGTGAGTGCTGTGGATAGACTCTCATGGTGTTTGTCTGGGACTTGTTGCTTGGATTGTTCTCGCTAAATTGCTGCAGTCGGGTCTCAAAGACAACAGAAGTTCGTAATCGTATTAAATCACTTGCTGCTGTCTCTCTTGATACAGTCGTGTTTTATGACTATTGTGGGATTTACACATACTTTGCTTTATGACTTCATAATATAATGCGGTGTAATTTATTTTAATAGCCAAATAAAGAATGCCAAACTGTGTAGGGACTGTTGGATGGATGCTTGTGGCATGAGGCTGGTACTGCTCTGGCTTTATGTGCTTTCTTTGGCCAACAGTGACTTCCACATAACTG